AGGGAAAGACAGTGACAAGCTTTAGTCCAGGAATGAATTGCTTTAAAGGCAGCACTGTCAATTCTGATGTCCCAAGTGACAGTAAAACCCTAGGGTAGGTGGTAATTAACTACAATTTCTTAATTTATCACAAGGAAGCCTTCAAAAGGGAACTAATACAGGCATTATATCATCGCCTCTAATCTGAGTGATACAATTTAGTGGTTTTCTTATAAAACATCTCAGATTATTCTACACTCAAGACTGTGCAGGACTGTACAAGAGACAATTTTCTATCAAGGGAGAATACCAGCTTGTTGTGTTCTTGAAAGAAGAATGTGATGATAAAGCAAATACTCAAAATATTCCTAATGCTTATTTAAAAGGGAAAACAAACTTACATTGTAAGGCTTGATTGTCTGACTTAAAATATCTAAAAAAAAAAGAATCAGAAGTGTAAAAGTGAGTGGCATTATGTCTTCAGTTTTATTCAGCACAAACCATGCAACAGCTTATTCTTTAGAAGAAATTTCCTTATACAAAATAAAAGAAACAAAGCAACCAAGCAGTTCCTGCAGCTGGCCCTCAAAAGGTAGAATTCAGTTTTTCTCCCTTCTCCTGAGAAGTTTACATGACCCCATTTTGTTACCCTAACAATGCAAAAGAGATTGTGTGCTGTTGCAAAATGACAGTATGGATACGAGTTTTGTTAATGCAGAAACCTGAACTCACCAGGAGACTTTGCTGTCTCCTTGAGCATGATGACAAGTATGTACCTGTTGTGAACTCAAGCACCAGTGTACAAGGAAAAAAAAAATCCCTGGTGAATGCTCTTTATAAACAGTGTCAATCAAAAATGGGGACTAAGAAATAAACTTAGGAGAAAAAGGGTAAAACTGATGATGCCTCTTAAATTTCTAAGCACATACCAATGGAGTTCTCCCTGGAGCACAGCTTGCATTTCTGCACCATAGTGGCGCTTCCTCTGCCTCCTTTCAGGGGAGCACTGTCCTAAAAACCATGACAACAGAGACATCATTTCTAACTGCACTCTAGCTGAGCCACTGGAAACCTCTGCAAAGGTAAAGTAGTTTTTACAACAATGTTCTTTAACTTTTTAAAAATATTGCAACGAGAAGGGGTTTTTTTTTAAACAACAGACATAATTCAGAAAGCTGGGATTATCAAAGAATAATTATATTCTAGACTTCAGTGAATAATGGTAGTTATATCTTGTCCATATAGGCATGTTCCATTAATTCCTCGAAATACATTCTTGCCCTTCAGTAGCATGCAACAAAGAGGGATGAGTATTCCTAAGAACAGAACCTTCTCTTATCCCTGACAAATTTTATCCAGCTTTTTCAGTTTCCAAATGCTAATTTAGCAAGCTTAACTCACCTTGAATTATGTAAACTTCTCCAAAAAGATTCTGTCAGCATCAGAGAAACATGCTACAGGCACAACCTTACTCTGATAGAATTTAGAAATTTGCTTTCAAATGATATTTTTAGATAAAGGCAGCTTTTTAAAGCAGACATAAATACTGTCACCAACAGTCACCATTCCAATGGCATATTTCAATTAACAATCTCTGGGTTTTTTTATAGCATTTGCTGAATGCATATAGCTATTAAAATACTACCTGACCTAAAGTGCAAGCTGTCACATCCCTGACTCTTGTATCTCTTGCATGTTAGGCACGGGTTGGTTTTCTCATTTTTGCTCTGATGCAGAGTGCAAGAGGGGAACGTACCATCAATCGCAGATACTGCCATTTCTCAGAAACTTCACCACAGTTCCCGCATTTCAGCTGAAAAATCAACAGAAATTAGAGAATTAAAAGCTGTCAATAATCAGGGATTAAAAAGCTGGTGGAGAAGATGTGAGCCCCCCAGATTCACAAACCCCACTGTTTCACAGCTGAGAGGAGCCAGCGGCAGGTCCGAGGCGCTGTCTATCCCATCAGGCCTGTGAGCTGACTCGACCTGGCAGGTCTGTGTGACACAGAGGGTCTGTCCTTCGGCGCCTTGGATGGAAAACGTGTTACAAAGCATGGTCACGAAATAAAAGATGTGAACAGCGCATCTCACCATTCACCTGGGTTACCTGCCAGTGGATACTGGATTAGCACCCACCTCACCGCTGGAGACACTGACCAACTCCTGAACTTAAGACTTTTCATTATTGCAAATTAATGTACAATGTCGTGTGTGTACTCATGTAAACATGTCTGTATGCAGATTTATACCCCCCCAGTCGTTGCTGC